TTATAATTCATGATTTTCCTACAATTTAAATGTAGCAATATCAAATTAAGTGTTTTAGGGAAGATGTAGATAAAGAGGAGCAAATTAAATCATTTGGCAAAAACGTTATTTTACTTACATAATTGTCTTTCAAGTAAATACAGGCTTTATTTTCGACCAGCATTTTTGACATCTCGACAGATTTAACTCAGTAACCAGCCACATGTAAGGCCGTGCATCCCTAAATATAACATGTACAATTACAAAAATACAAAATCAGTTATAATAACATGTAACATCAAACGACTTTATTTATCTTATGATTGTTTCATAAACATATCTAATACAGAATATAAACACCATAATCTGGCATTCACAAATTGTTTGCATTAGAAACACCATTAAGAAGAAAAATTGACAACAATAAAAGACCAATGAATAGTAATGAATCCAGTTAATCTCTTGTAATTCATTGATCTAATTTGACAACCAAATAACTAATTATATACATTATTATGAATCTCATTATCAATTTGGGGTAAAACTATACATTTTTAATATTGCTTTAATTGTATAAAGCACAACTTACATAAACATTGATAGCATCTATGTCAGTGCCTTTGTCAATCAATTTTTGTGAAGCCTCTATCTGGTATTTGATCACAGACACATGAAGAGGTGTTCTGCCCTAAACAAGAAGACACAATAATTTGAAAAAAGTGGAAAGACCTAATTATTCATATTTGTGTTAAAATTAACAATATATTATAATTGATTTATCTATCTTTGAAAATTTTCTATTTGTATTCAAGAAAAACTTGACGTTCACAATTCTCCGAAATAGAAATTAGAAAAAAGTATAGTATATATATTTTTTTTTAATCTTTAAGCACTATATATAATTGAAGTGGTCTTTTTTTTTAAGTGTTTTATGTATTTTTATGGCAAAATGCATACCCACTTGTTGCGACAGTTCATATCTGCATTATTATCTGCTAAAAAGTTGATGATGTCTATGTTACATATATACTAGTTCAGTGTAATGGAAGCCACACTTAACTCCGAAACATAAAAAATGAACTAAAATTTTAAAAGCATACAGGACTAACAAAGGCTAGGGGTTCCTGACTTGGGAAAGTCGCAAAAATGCTGCTGGATTAAACATGTTTTGTGAGATACCAACCCTCTCCCTATGTAGCTTATCTAGCTAATGTGGAATAAACAAACACACAACAATATGCACAGTCAAACTCAGTTCAAAAAAAGTCCGGTTGTTATGTAAATACGGGTAACTGAAGAAATTAAGGAAAATGACAATGATCAACATGAATTAACAAAGGACTACTAGAAATTGCCAGATGTCTTCATCGTATGAAAATCAACCACAATCCCCGCCGTTATGGGTTTAGTATCATGCCATCATAAATGACACGAGAAGAACATAACCCAACTTCTGTATCTTACACCTCTCTTTTTCATTAGTAATCACTAATACCATACATTGTTGCTTGTTATTTTTGCGTCGTATTCATTTTTTATTATAGGGACATGTCTTTTTTTAAACAAAAATAATGTTGTGATTTCGTTTTATTATTTTTCATTCAGAATTAGTTCCAGATTTGTTATTAAAAGTCACTTAATCTATTATTTAATAAAATCATTTATTAGAACATCAATTTATTTTTTTTCATATTCATAACTTATCACCCCACACAATTGAAAGTGTTTTGAACTCAAGTTAAAAATACCCAATTCACTTTATATTGATCAACTGCATGCATGGTAACAGGATAATAAGTGAATCATTTGTTATTACACTTTTTATTCTAAAAATCTAGTGTAAACAGGAGTACAGGGTACACACCGAACAAGCTCATGTTAGGCAGAGAGACCAATCAGCCAGCAGACCTTATGTTCGGTAGTCAGAGTGAAAAGAAATATGAGGGTGCTGACAGCTACATCTTAGAGCTAGAAAAAGCTATCAAAAGTGCACATACTATAGCACGGGACAAACTTAAGACCTCTCAAGAGAAACAATGAAGAGGGACTATGATCTCAGAGTATTAGAGATGTCATACCAGCCGGGAGATCTTGTATAGGTTCTTGACACTGCCCAGATTAAGGGTAAATGCAAGAAATTGGGGTCACCATGGAAGGGGCCAGGAATTATTGGTAAGGTTACCGGTTATGTTTACAAGGTGAAACTCCAACGGGTGTTTTTCAATACTAATCATGACAGGCTGAAGCCATGTGGGGATAGGAAAATTCCTGCTTGGTTAGAGACATGTAGGGACCAATTCAAAAAGGGTGAGGATGTCTTGGCAAGCAATAAGACCAAAGCAATAAGACCAAACCTACTACTCCTCAGTATTGTGTGTGTCGTGGCCCGGAAACGGGGGAAACTATGGTTCAATGCAACCATTGCAAAGAGTGGTTTCATTTGACATGTATAGGCATGTCAGTGCAGGAAGCCAACAAGATAGATCCTTACATATGTCCAAACTGCCAACTTGTTTGCTTGACTCCACCTCAATAGAAAAAGGGGGAAGGATATATGTAAATTGTCAGGTCATCTAAGGTTTATTTATTTTTTCATATTTTTCAGAATGTCAGACTCCGAATCCTTCAGATCGTGCTCCGACGAGGGCAGTGAGGATGAACCAAGGTCCTGGAGGCCAAGTAGTTGTGACTCCCATCCGGGAGTGGGCATCCAGCCCTTTGACATTTCGGTGTTGGATGAATTGAGAGGTAAGTGTCTATGAGGAGCAGGAGGTACCTGTTCTGGTACAGTGTAGTTCAGACACCAGCAGCTCCAGATGAGACACTAACAGCTTCAGAGGAGACACCAGCAGCTCCAGAGGAGACACCAGCAGCTCAGGAGGAGGCACCTGTAGCTCAGAAGGGGAACAGTCAGCTCAAGTGCCCGCCAGCACTACATCCATGGCGTTCAAGAAAGTAATACCAGATGCTTGGAAAGGTAGGGAGAACCAAGTGTAGACAGGCCCCTACAGCGGGTATAAGAAACGTACCTGGCGGGTGAGTGACAGGGATGTGGCCTGCCCAGTACCAGAGTGCCTTGTCATTACCAGGCACCTGGGAGAGCATGCGCTGGCGGACCACTTGTCGCCAATGTTTGAGTCCCATTTTTCCCGGGATGTGATGCAGAACCAAGAGTTCCACAGGTTCAGAGGTTCAGAGGTCACATGGCCATCTTGCTGGCCAGATGGCTAACTGGAAGGGAAGATGTGACGTCAGCGGAGTTTGTGTTGTGGCTCCAACAGCGAGCAGGGATTCCAAGGGGATGTAAGATCCAGGGAGTAGACATGCCTCCACTGAGAGCAGTATGCTCCGCCATGAAATGACCTCAAATCAGCATTTACTCACTCCATCCAGTGAACAGCCTAGTTGTTATCTTATACTGGAGGGTGATACTGTCTGTGCTCCGTTTCCTGAACCCAGCAAACAGAGCTTGCGTTGCACTAGAGGAGTATAGGGGGGACAACGGTCCCTCCTATGATGTCATCTGCCAGATGAACGGGAGATTCCGCAGTGTGGCAGAGCCCGTCGTGGCTCAGTCCATACTAAGTGTTCCAGTGGTCCAGCCAACCGTTCAGGCTAGTGCTCCAGTGGTCCAGCTGACCGTTCAGGCCAGTGCTCCAGTGGTCAAGCCCACAGTACCATCCAGCACTCCCGTGGTACCACCTTCTGTACCAGAAGTACAACCTGCCCCCAAGAGGAAGAGAGGAAGTCAGCAGGAAGGGTTACCCCACCAGTGGAGGAGCCAGTGGTAGTGGCAGCACTCACTTCCCGGGAATCCTTGGTGGTTCTGGTCTACAAAAATACCAGGAAGATGGTCAGTAGTGCAGGCCAGAGATCTCTTCGATCGTGAGGAGGAGGAGGATGTAGCGCTAACCTACCACGGGGCAGAAATCACTGTCAAAATTGAGTTGCTGCCTGCAATGGCAGAACTCCTTGTAGTTGTGAGGAAGTGAGCTCCTTCATCTGGACGCCAGAGGACTTTTCACGGGACTTTTTTGGTTTAGCCTCCGCTTCCTGGCTAGAAGCTGTACTCAACAGGATTTGAAAGCCAGGCCATTGTACAAATTGTAGTATAGTAGAGTAGTGTTTGACATTTTTATATTATCGCCATATTGAAGAACGGTATTGACGTATACTTGGTTTTTTTTAGGTCATGGTTTGCCCTTTTTGTTCCATGCTGGAACAGGTGCTTTGATGTAATTATTGGGATTTAGTAGTTATAGTAGTACTTAGCTTAGATTAATTGGAAATTCATGGGGAGATTAATGAACTGGCAATTATAGATATCTATGTATATTTTGATTATTGGAAGTATCTTTTGTTTTATGTGTTTTTGAAATATTGTATAAGCAATCAATAATTAGGACGATTCGGGGTTGGACAACGCCATTTATATCCATGACGTATTGGAATCAGTTCTTAGCAAGAATAGTGAGCTATCGTCTCATGGTGAGATGTTTCCAGGACTAGGTCTTGAGGGTTGTCATGCACCTATGGCCGGTGTGGAGTTGTAGACAGGTTTATAGTGGCTTAGTGCAAGGAAAGGTGGGTGATAATTTTTTATTTTTAGATATAGTTGTCCAAGGCTGAGTCGTCTACAGTAATTTTTATATATGCCATGTTTTTAGGGAAAGGTTAAAGTTTTTTTTAGAAACCCCATACCCAGGGAAAGGGGGGCGGGGGTGGATTTTAAACAGCAAGTTTTATGATATTTGCTGGGTTAGATAACCCATTCGTAGGTTATGTTAATAATTAAGGATTTTGACTTTTAATGAAATAGGGGCGTCTTCAGTTGTCAGGCCTTTGTCGGAACTTACAATTCCTCCTTTTTAGGAAGGAGGGGGTGTTGTATCTTTACCCTAAGTCCCGGATTCTCCAAGCTAGGAGCAGACAACTGACACCAGTGGGCCTCTTGATGAATGCAGCTGAGGACGGAGTCTGCGCACGCCTGCAGCGCCCTCTTGCGATTGACCTTCTACGAGATTAGACGTATCCACGAAGAGACAGTCCCAACGCCCGATATTAGAGGTAATTATAGTAATAAAGCCTTACACCGTTATTCATCATAAGTCCAGGTCGGGTCCTTCCAGGGGAAATGGCCTTTCCCGAGACGAACACCACATTAGTCGTATCATTGGCATTGCTAACTTCGTACCATCTAACCATTGTCGATTAATATTCAGATACTGATACGCACAAAATTACACAAAACAAATGTACTCTTTGTCTCTGTACAAAGATCTAATTAAGATAATGAGCAATCAGCTATAATTTGTTGTCATGGTTTTCATGGTTTTTCAAATCGTTTTTTTATATTGAAATCCTGGTCCTGATCCTCATTGATCCTAAGGTCAATATATAGTTTGTCACATTTTGTCTCTTTGTGCTAGCATGTTTCAGCTTGGTACTGTAGTTTCTCTGAGTAATGTCACATTGTATACTTAGGTTAAATTGTTTAGGCAAAGGATCAGAATTCTTCAGGGCTAGGTGTATCTTGGAATCGGCCTGAACTCTTTAAAAATTCTATTATATTAGCTGTTCTCTCGTATGTCTCTTACTTTGCTGGTAAAAGACACGAAACCTATATAATCAGTATAATATATCTGATAATATGCTCCAAAATAAACCTATGATTTTATAAACATTATTTTCTACATAGAACTTACATGCAGTTCATTGTAACAACTCGTAAGGTAAGAAAGATATTATCACATTAACAGTTGACTAAACTTCATACATGAATATACACAAAATTTTATAAATAGTTTCCAACAGGCAACATACAAGTCAAACAAAATAGAATGAGTTGCCTTAATCTATTACTTAAAAATTATCAAAAATAGTACTTGGTTAAATAGTATATTTTTCCTTGTAAGAATTTATATTCATTTATGTTACCAATCTAACAAAGTCTCCATTCATTTAGTATTCAAAGTTTTCAGCTAAAGTTATTATTTCAAATTTGGCAGTGTTCAGCGGAAAGTATTACAATGTGATTTGTATGGCAGAGATCAAAAGCAATATATCTTGAAGCACATATACCATGTGTATACTGACACATGGAATATATAGAGAATAAGGAAAGATAGTGAAAAACAGAAAATATTTGAAAGGGTAAACATTTCTTTTTTTAAATATAATAAACTGATTATGACCTAAATATATTTCATTACTGTGTTAAAGATTTATGTTAATTTCCATCATGAAATTGGTAGATCTTATTTCATATAAATTGTTACAAAATATGCTTTACAACCAAATGTAGTTTATAAAATTTTAGAAAAAATAGTGTTTTAAGTAAACAATGTAAAAACTATCCTGTACTGCATGTACTGCAATTGAGTAAAAAGAGTCATTCCATATAAGGAACTGGGATGTATAAGTACTCTCCCACACATTGCGCTTACTAAGATTTCATTTCATTCAAATTTGTCAACTGTCTACCAAATATTTTATAACATTATGATTAAAAGGATTACATGTGGCATGATTGCCAATGAGATAACTTTATACCAGAGAGTGAGAGACCAAAGGGCATGTGGATGTGTACTGAAAATTGTCTCTTGCCCTCTACATGAGGAATACTTTTACAAGCATTTTTTATCATAAAAAACTTACTTACAGATTGTGGTTTGAAAGTATATTTCTTTCCTTGTAAAAATTTATATCCATTTTTGTTACCATTTTAACATACTTTTGATATGTCTCCATTCATTTTATATTTAATGTTTTGCAGCTAAAGTTATTATTTCAAATGTGAAAGTGTTCAGCGGCAAATATTACAATGTGATTTGGATAAGATCAAAAGCAATGCATATTCTTGATGTACATTCTGACACATAGAATAAAGACAATAAGGAAAGATAGTGAAAAACAGAAAATATTTGAAAGGGTAAACATTTCTTTTTTTAAATATAATAAACTGATTATGACCTAATTATATTTCATTACTGTGTTAAAGATTTATGTTAATTTCCATCATGAAATTGGTATATCTTATTTCATATTAATTGTTACAAAATATGCTTTACAACCAAATGTAGTTTATAAACAATGTAAAAAACTATCCTGTACTGCATGTACTGCAAAAACTGAGTAAAAAGAGTCATTCCATATAAGGAACTGTGATGTATAAGTACTCTCCCACACATTGCGCTTACTAAGATTTAATTTCATTCAAATTTGTCCACTGTCTACTAAATATTTTACAATATTAAAATGAGTACATGTAGCATGATTGCCAATGAGATAACTTTGTACCAGAGACCAAAGGGCATGTGGATGTGTACTGAAAATTATCTTGTCATCTACATCAGAAATTCTTTTATAAGCATTTTTTATCATAAAAAACTTACTTACGGATTGTGGTCTGAAAGTATATTTCTTTTTTAGTAAAAATTTATATCCATTTCTGGTACCTTTCTGACAAACTTATGATAAGTCTCCATTCATTTGTTTTTTAATGTTTTGCAACTGAAGTTATAATTTCAAATTGTACAGTGTTCAGCGGCAAGTATTAAATGTGTTTGGATGAAATCAAAAGATATATATCTTGAAGCACATACGACACATGGAATATTTAAAAATTATGTACAGAGAATTACGAAAGATCGTGAAAAACAGGAAATATTTGATAAAATAAAGGTTAATATTTTTTATAGAATAGGCAGATTGTGACCTTATTTAAATTTATAAACCTTGATAAAGATTTATATGACAATAAGATGTGGTATTGTTTCCAATAATAAAGCTTTTTTCATATTAATCGTTACACATTTAAATAGTGTAAAAGCCTAAACAGATATTCAAAAGAAAGTGAAATGCAGTCCAAAATAGTATTATCATTGTATGTTTCTCAAATTATGATTATTAATTATCTATGCTGGTAAAATTTTAAAATTTTTAAATGGTCATTAACTGATTAGAGTCTTAACAAGTGCTGATTGTGTACTTTTCCACAAAATACAAAGTAAAAAAAAATTAAGAAAGCTATGTTGTAATAATTTTCTTGTTTCAGACCAAGACAATGACAGATAGATTTCTTACACACGTACATACATTTTTTGTGCATGTAAAGTTTTTGAGATGTATAATTTTATCAAATTTACACCTCATTAAAGATATGTTAGAAATGAGACGCATTATTTTTTGAACATGTATATCAGGGAAATTTAAATTATTACAATATGATGTTAAAACACATAACCAATGTCCATAAAGAGTGCATGTCACATTTTAGGTCAAGGGCAAATAACTCTTACAATATCAAAATATTTAAAATGAGTAATATAAGAGTATTATATTGTTTTCAACTTCAACAAAATGTTTTTGCATACACTGTTTATTTTTTTAATATCAAGAATAAATAATAAGATATAAATATTTTTTATATTCTCAGCTTAAACAGAATATCCATTCAGCCCTTGAGACTATTTTTTCTTCTTCAAATGATCAGGAAGTTTTATATTTTACACACGTTTAAGTCATTAATGTGCAGTCAAGTACTTGGATTTATTCTGAACATGGATTGAATTTGAGCAAGAACCAGATTTCAGATTGTGGTAATGGTAAGTAAATGTTCCCAACTATGTTTTTGATATACACATCTATTAAAATGTATATATGTTAAAACTTTCATCAAGCAGTTATCATTTGTTTTCATTCAGAAAAAAAATTGTGCAAAAAAGTATTAGTTTGGGATTGAAACACATGAAAAGTAAGTAGCATAAATATCATGTAAATGATAATATACTGATTCTCACATTTTGCTCTGTGATTTAGAAATTTAATTTCTTCAAGCACTGACTCAACATAGGACTTGAGAAAACTGTCCACATGAAGCACATATAGTATTTGATAAAACTGTCAACATAAAGCACATAAACTATGAAAAAACTGAGGCAAACATACTATATGAGAAATTGTCAACATGAAGTACATAAACTATTTGAAAAAAAAATGTCAACATGAAGCACATAAACTTTTTGAGAAAACTGCCAACATGAATCAAATATAGTACTTGAGAAAATTGTCAACATGAAGCACATAAACTATTCGAAAAAAAAAACTATCAACATGAGGCACACAAACTATTTGAAAAAACTGTCAACATGAAGCATAAACACTACTTGAGAAAACTGTCAACATGAAGCACATAAACTATAAGAAAAAATATTGAGATGAAGCACACAAAATATTTGAGAATTCAGCCCACATGAAATATATAAATTAAATTTGGCCCTGTCACATTGACCACTTTACTGAGTAAAGAGTTTCCAGTTGATACCACTAGAGGTGTGACTTGGACTTGGTCAAATTAACCCATTCATCAACCTTTTTTTTTTCTTCTTCTTCATAATGAAAGAATTTTTTTTTTATCATAAAAGTGGAATTTTAGTTTATAGTATAATTGTAAATATGTGCACACAATACAACATTAGTTATTAATACTGAGACATACCATATCTACATTTTTTATACGAATTCTCACCAACTCTGCTGATACAACAGATATTGTTATTTACCAGTTAAGTCTGAACTATTATGTAAATAAAATCATTCTCACCAATAATAATATTGGAATATTCTGCTTTCCGAATGTGAAAACAGATCGGTTCAAGTGTATAGCTACAACCTACTGAAAGATGTTTTGCTGATACATGTGATATGTAATATTTGGAACTAAAATTGTTTTTGTAAAAATAATCATTATTTGAATGGAATTAAACCAAACAAGTGTATTGAAATCTGTAATGACAGTTTGTAAATCTGATTCATCCAGTTCAACTAAATTAATGCCATGATTCTCAAATTCAAGAAAAATGTCATTAAATGTCATATTATCAGAGTCAGTGTCTGATTCAGAGTCGTAAAGGTGTTCAACTTGGGTTTTCTCGTTTGGTTGTTGGATATTTGCATCACCTGAAGGTAAAATTGTAGGGCCATTTGAATATAAACAAGACTTTCCACATTTACATCCAGGACCGCATGACTTTCGTTGCTTTCTACATCCACAATGATTGTCACTACAATTAGATTTTAAACACCCACACCCAGCTGTCCATAGTTTTATATTGTTAGATATTTTTTCTAAATTTTCATCAGAGTCCCGAACTATGCTTAGTAAAATTTTTTCAATCTTCCAACCATGGTCATTCAAAATCGGATAATGCACAAAATTTTGATTAGCTTGCTGCCATACAAGTTTAACCCAAGAAGATCTTTTCCAGTGTAAAAATAACGCATCATTTGATGGCAGGAAAAATTCTTCAGATGGAACACGACAGTACAGTGCATCTCTAATTTTTGAAAGCCATATAAAGTGATTTTCTAACGGGCTTAATGTTTCTACAAAAACAGTTTGAAATAAATAATGAGGAGATTCGATCCTATCCTTTAAGAAGGCAGAGGAACATTTTCTCCAATATTCACACCCAACTAAACGTAAAAAAGCAAGAAATCCTACATTTTCTGTGTTATCACTGTCACTTAATATTCCTAACCACCCCTTTACAATATTATTGGAAGTAATAAAATCTGGATATTTGAAAAATATCTGATAGAAAGAAGTTTTACCATGGTCCCTTAAAAAAGATAATCACATCCAGTAACAATATACAACATCTGAAAAATTGATGGTATATTGTCATGAATGTCGTTTGAAATGCATTGTAAATCTGGATAATTTTTCGTGGAATGAATAAGCTTATTCACGTTTAAATATATTACATCCTTCTTAAAAGTAAGTTGAACAAAAACCTGTTTGTCTAATGTTTGTACAAGTGGTAAACCAATGTTGTATGTGTCATTGTCTGGCGAATAAATAAGCACAGTATCACAAAAAGTTTTTTTCCGTGTGTAACCATACTCGACTGCCCCCCTCTGATATATTAGTTTGAAAATTCTTAATTATTCTTATCTCACTTTGAACAACACATTTTGATATTGACGAATTGTCAAATCCACCACCAACAACAAATGTTTGACTTAATTTGATTGCATTTTGTGAAAGTAATAAAAACCTGTTCATTTATTAATAAATCCAGTTGTTTCTTGTTGTTTCTATTGGTCAAAAACTTCACCCAGTCTGACGGTAGTTTGGAAAATTCAGTAAAAGAAACCCCAGATGTATTTTCATTTTTGTCTAGCCTGCAACTTATGTCGCAGAAAGCTCGACATAGGGATAGTGATCTGGCGGCGGCGGCGGCTAAGGCGTTAGCTAATTGTTTAAAAGCTTTATATTTAAGAAGCTAGAAGACCTGGATGCTTCATACTTTGTATATAGATGCCTTATGTTACGAAGTTTCCGTCTGTCATATGTCATATGTCCATTGTCCTTGACCTCATTTTCATGGTTCAGTGACTACTTGAAAAAAAGTCGTCATTTTTAGTAATGTTAATTTCTTTCTTATTATGAGTAATATGATAACTATATTTAGTATGTGCGTACCTTGCAAGGTCCTCATGCCCGTCAGACAATTTTCATTTGACCTCGACCTCATTTCATGAATCAGTGAACAAGGTTTAGTTTTCGTGGTCAAGTCCATATATCAGATACTATAAGCAGTAGGTCTGCTATATTTGGTATACGGAATGATTGTAAGATGTACATGTCCAACTGGTAGGTGTCATCTGACCTTGACCTCATTTTCATGGTTCAGTGGTCAAAGTTAAGTTTTTGAGTTTTGGTCTTTTTTTCTAATACTATATGCAATAGGTCAACTATATTTGGTGTATGGAAATATTTTATGATGTACATGTCAGTCTCGCAGGTTTTAATTGACCTTGACCTCATTTTCACTGTTCATTTCTCAGTGTTAAGTTTTTGTGTTTTGGTCTGTTTTTCTTCAACTATAAGCAATATATCAACTATATTTGTTGTATGGAAGATTGTAAGGTGTATATGTCTGTCTGGCACATATCATCTGACATTGACCTCATTTTCATGGTTCATTGGTCAATGTTAAGTTTTCATGGTTAAGTTTGTTTCTTAGATACTATAAGCAATAGTTCAACTATATTTAATGCATAAATTGATTGTAACGTGTACATGTCTGTCTGGCATGGTTCATCTGACCTTGACCTCATTTTCATGGTTCATTGGTCAATGTTAAGTTTTCTTGGTTAAGACTGTTTCTTAGAAACTATAAGCAATAGGTCAACTATGTTTGGTTTATTGAATGATTGTAAGATGTACATGTATTTCTCGTTTGGTTTATCTGACCTTGATCTCATTTTCTTGGATCATGTTAAGTTTATGTGTTACTTGTAGTAAAGCTTTATATTTAGGACTATCAACATAAAATCAATGGTTAGTAAAGAAGGCGAGACATTTCAGCGTGTGCACTCTTGTTTAAATCACGTCTGTTTCGCTCAATGTCCTTTGGGGAAAGCGGAGGGGACTGATCATCAAAATCAGATGCACTTCAACTGTATTATTATTATCAAAATAGGGTAATATGCATTTTTTTGTAAAGGTAAATAATATAATCAGTAAAAGTTTTATGTGAAGATAACAAGGGTTTGGTATGTAAAATAAACATCCCATCTATAACTACACATTGAGGGGTTTCATTTAAGATATTTGTAAAAGAATCTGGGTATCGTAAATGGAAAATTTTTAAAGTTTTTGATTTGTCACCTTTATATGGTAAGCCATCAGAGTCAACGATGGCTTTCGGTAAAGCAATAAATTGTTGAAGATCTGAAACCAGTATGTTTTGATTTTTTGACCAGGAAATTTTTTTCCTTAGTAACGAATTTTCTAAACGTTGATCTTTTAATTATTTTTTAACATAAGAAACAGTTTGTGGTTTGAATGAAAATCCAGTAATTTTTGTGGTTTTATTATATCTAAATTTAAAAGTCAGTCATACAAGATTTAATGTATGTTATCAAATGAGTAGTGGCTACATTTTCATATGATAACAAGTCTTCTTTTTGTAATTTTGTCAGACTTTGCCTGAGATTATGTATATACAAAAGTATGTTTTCTTCTTCAAAAATTGTCATCTAACCTCTGACTATGAATGTTTCTGTCAGATATGTTCACAGCAAAAGCACCTTCTTCAAACTTTTTTATAATGCCAGCTGGAAAAGTCCGCTATATGATATGGTCAAAGTCGGGCGTAATATTTACTTTCAGTAATTTGTGTAATTTTGGTCACTTCTTTAATACAAAAGTTACGAAGTTCCCAGTTACCAGAACGTATAGCAATGAAATATGCAATGTAAGTAAAGTAGTGCTTACTAAAGAAATGTATTCCAAAATCTCCAGTTTTCATTTTCCTCACAAAGCTGACCCAATAATTCTTTATATTCAAACGAAAAATTTTGAAAAAATTGCATTTCCTTTTTGTATTTTCTCTAGAGGGGAGAGTGTATCATCTGATAAAATGTCAGATACTCTTTTAATATTAATAAAACTGTCGTTTTGTTCATGATTTACATGAAAATATTTAATAACAGTTTCTATTTGAAAACGAAAAAGTGATTCCCAGAACTGCAACAAAAATTCATGTTTTTTATCAAAGTTCACAGCCTGTATAA